CTGAGCTTTTAGGGCAGTGTAGATTATGCAAAATCGTATTACTTAGGATGGCTAGATGATGAAATTTATGGTGGGATTTAAATTTGGAATATCAGAGGGCTAAGAGAAAGTTGAGAAAGACACGAGTAAGTTTTGGTCCACATTACGTTGAGATTCATCAGTAATTCTCGATACCCAAAAAGAAAAAAAAAAGAGACTTTTCGTCCCCCTTCTACCTGCCTGCCCCGCTTGCCCCTCCCATCAGCCACTCCCTCCTCTCCTTTAATCCAAACGTGTCTCCCCTCTCAGCAATACATTCCACAAAAGAGCATTCCTCTTGAGCATTTTTCTCTGACTTGTTTGATGAGGTTTTATTTTGATTAATGTTGTCATAGTCATAACAAGTGATTCAAAGGACAAATTAATGAAAACACTGGAGAAAGAATAGTAGTCAGAGGATGAATGAATACAATGTTGAGAAGAAGAAGGATCGGAGAGGGATTTTTTGTGACTTCTTTATGCCTATGAAGCATGATTTCTTCGTTGCGCAATAGAAAAACGAACAGCCCTTAGTTTCTGGTATATAGTAGTAGTGTTAATAATCAGAGCTCAGAATGCAGTTCATATTGTTCTTATATTGTTGCCTCTTTGGGAAAGCCGAAAGAGAAAGACGGAAAACGAGAAGAAGGGTATGAAAAATTGAATCTGGAGAAGACAGAGGAAGCGATCAAAGTGTGCCTGTTTTAAGGAGAAGAGGATTTTGGTAACATTGACTTCCCTAGTTTAGGAAGACAAATAGAAGGACCAATAATTAATGTAAATTGGATCAGAAACCTCTGTTATCTAATCCTTTATCAGTTGGATGGGAATGCAGACTGACTTATTTGTGTTCTGTGTCCAGGCATTAGATGTATGATTTTAGCCTTAACATGTAACAAATGTCAAGGCTAAAAAGGAATCAGATGAACATAATTTTGTCTGACTAACAAGATACTTTCCCTCTTTGTACTGCTTGAAATATTTATTACTAGAGTAGATAGTTTGAACGACATATTTTAACAATAACGGCTTGTGCAGTTACTTGGTGTATAAAAAGTCCTGCTTCAAGATTCAGTCAAGCACGTTTTAAAATATCTGTGTTTGTTATTAACGTTTTTGTGTTCTTTAACCCTTTCAATGCATTGGAAAATGTCATTGATAGAGGAGTATCTTTGTGGCCACTGAACTTGTGCACCTGATTCTACTTTACCTTACAGATGCGGTGCAGAAACTATGGACATTTGGATGCCCAGTCCAACCATAACTTTGCAGCCATCTTACCTGGCGATTCGGTTGCTGGAATTGTGGTTACTAATGGGATTCTGAATTTCCTGAACATCTATAATACATTATTAATTGTTAGGCTTGTTTTGACCTGGTTTCCTAATGCTCCTCCAGCCGTTGTTAGCCCCTTGAGGTTTGTCTTACTATTTTACTTCTTCTGAATGCTTTTAAGCTTATTTCACATATTGGACATCATACTCTTGGTGCATCACATGTTGGATTATAAGTATTAAAAACAACTATGTCATAATCTGAATTCTTAAACTTCATGCCAGTATCTCTGGTAAATTTTTGTTGAAATATGGTACAATTTGCACATGCCTGTGATTGTTTTTCCTTTGAGTTCATTATCTCTGGAAACTGATATGTGGCTTAATTCTGGATGAAAGAAAATCATTTGGCTCATATACGTGTAGCATAACATAGATAAAGTAACAACTTGAATGTTGATCTAGTCCTTGCTAGAGGTATCCAATATTTCATTTGGAGGACCATTGGAAGTGCGACAAGAAAATATTAAGTAGTTAAGGTTCATTAGTTGACTCAAAGGGTCTAACAAAATGTTGTCTTTTCTTCTTGACTTGTACAATGACTATAGTCCCTTTTTTCCCCTTAAAATAACATCTATAAGCATTTGAAGCGCTTATGGGTGTGAACCATGTGAATACTGCTGCAGAGGCAGATCATGAGATTTAGTAATTACTGCTTAGTGATTTCTTCCCCTCTTGAACAAGGAGCAAAAGTATCTTTGATCTGTAATGTGCAGAATGGCCTTCTTGTACTTTTTTAGTGTCTACTTACAAACTTTTTGTGGTACTATTGTATCCATCCAATTGTATGACAAAATGTGAATCATGCCTCTTGTGAACATTATAAATCAATTTGAGCACGTTGTCTTGACAATTGCTTATTTCTTTCAGCACCATATGTGATCCCTACTTGAACATATTTCGTGGGATAATTCCACCACTTGGAGGAACTCTGGACCTTTCACCTATATTAGCATTCATTGTTCTGAATGCTTTTACCAGTACAGCTGCCGCACTTCCAGCTGAACTTCCCCCTACAGGAGTTTCTGAACGTCTGCCATCTCGCACAACAGTATCACCCTTTACGACATCACAGAGGAAATGGATCAGAAGACTTTCCGGTGTTGAGTCAAAAAACTCGTCTGGTGAAAATTAAATCAATTCATTGGGCCTCAATTGATTCTGTCCTGTTACAAGAGGAGTCGTGCTGTAGGATACTTTTATTTTGCTTAATATTCATGTATAAGGTACAAGAAATCCTTGACTTTCACGCTCAGAAATGTAAATTTGCTTAGATGCATCAGATTATTCTCTCCTGTGTTCATCATGCCACTTTGAGCTTCCAAAAACATTTTCAATGATCTGGCAAACTGCCCAATTTCAACCTGTGCTAGGTCCTTTAGCTACAAGGAAGTACATTCTCTCACAATTTGTTCTGACCACTTTTGAAAGCAATTCTTTCGCTACTTGATGGCTAATGGTGTCAGACTTGTGCTAGTGCTTATAACTCTGTACTACTTTGCCAAATATATGGTACCTTCTTTTGCCCTGTGATTGTGATTATTTCTGTAATTGTATGCATTTTGGTTGTTGACTAAAGATAGAGCAAACATGAAAGTGTTAGATAATAGCAATCGCAGAAATGCTATTATAGTAATAAAAAGGGAGGGTTATTATCCTTTTTCATTTCCATTTTGAGCATTTGTTGGTGTTCAGTTAGGTCTTATGCATGCCCGGGATTCTTGAATGGCAAGAGAATCATCCCAAAACAACATAAATCAGAAAGCAATGCTAAAAGATAGAATGTTGACAATAACTTCAGATTCCATAATAGATCGAGTGCTAAAGTTTTTTCTAACTTGTTAACTTTGAGTGTGCCCAACAGTTTCCCATATTTGGTACTACCCCCCGCCCCCACCCCCCGGGTGGCGGCGGCGGCGGCGCCTGTGTGTAGGGCGGAAGATGGTTGATGGAACTAGAATATCAGTTGTTCCAAAAGTTGGGGGTTCCATCTCGAAGTGAACCACATTCCCATGCAAATGCTGAAACATTTGCCACTTAGGAACATGTCCCCTTACCTTTGATCCATATTCGTGCTTTAAGAATCAGATTCCATGGCTGATCCCCCTAGAACATTAACATGTATAAACTACCATTGGAGAGTGCAGTCTCTTTCTGATGCCTCAGTCCACAATCGCAAAAAGCTTTACTTACAAGTTTTTGTTACCTTATCTTCATAAAGAAAGTAATCTTACGTGCTGCAGCTGTTCTCTGTAGTGCTGTGACAAGCAACACGAACACTTATTCAGCAAACTTATTTGGAACCGCTTAGATTTTGTCTATTCTAGATATACATCAAGAAAATGAAAAAAAAAAAAAAAACAACTATAAATAACAAGGAAACCTTTAAAATAGGATATAACTTTAATTTGCTCAATTCATCCTATCCTGGCTGTATAAAAAAGAATGACTTTTCCTTTTCATTGTTGTTGTGTCACTCTGGGATTGGATCCAATAGTCAAAAAGATTCTAAAATGAGAAGACTTTGGGAAAAGAACGAAAACAGAGAGCTTAAAAGGAATCTACAGAACAAGGGTTACGACCCTTTACGTCCAATAGAAAATCAGAGTTCCAAAACTGGTCTAATAAAGCTGGTTTCTCGTGAGGAAGGATCCCACAAGATGGACCAGGGAGCTACTTGGAGGAGTAGCAGGCCTTCTTCATATGATCAAAGGGTTATAGCAATATGCTTGGCACTTGCTGCTGTAATCTCACCTCTTTATATTGATAGGATAAAGGAAACGGAGCCAGAGCCGGAGGAGGAAACCATCAACATATCTTCGTATCTACCTCTGTTGCTTTTGATTCTGATCATGTCTATAGCTGTATCACGTTACTTGGACCGAAGTTTTACCAGTTTTGATCCTAACTGGATTCACAGAGTTTGTGGCTCTTCCACTGGGATCATCATTCTTCTGCTGATTCTCGCATCAGTTTTGAAGTTCAAATCTTCTTAATTTTATCTGAGCAGCTTAGAAGAGATCAGCAAATTTTATCTGTGGATGTAAGATGCTGACTTTTCTTGCCACAGTTTTAAGTTTGTTGAAATGCGCATTATGCTCTTCCTAACTGGATTCAGAGTTTGTGGTTCTTCCACTGGGATCATCATTCTTCTGCTGATTCTCGCGTCAGTTTTGAAGTTCAAATCTTTTTAATTTTACCTGAGCAGCTTAGGAGAGATTAGCAAAGTTTATCTATGGATGTAATGTGCTCATACTTCGTTCTTTTCCTACTAATTATGCTTCCCAGTGGCTGTGATCATACCAGAATATCATGATCATATATTTTGGCCAGGTGCTGCATAACTTTTTGAAAAACAGCACCGTATTTTTTTGTACTACTGATTGCTTTAACTTTCTATGTTGACCTTATAGATTAGTTTTCTAACGTCTTTTTCCTTTCTTTTATCTTTTTGCCTCAAGAAAACAAATAACCTTGCCTGTGCAGTTGTATGGTAGAGATAATTTGCAGCAAAAAAATGGCCAAAGCTTTATATAAATCAAACTGGTAGAACGATTTTCCATCTTGGGTGTACCCTAGATCCTGTTCACTTTTTAATGAATACTCGTTGGCAGGAGAATGAATGTGCCTTGCTCATGGCTAGAGAGCAGCATAAACTTTCTAATGCATTTGGTAAATATGCACAGGGGGCTCCCATGGTCACCATTCTATTATCTTCAGGTAGAGCAAGAAATGAGTTGATGCTGCATAAGCATACCAGTTTAACAGTGATTGTGAATGCCACAGAAAGTGATACAAAGCAATAGTAGAATAGGCTAATTTCTCATGCTACCATGATTTTTTGGTGATTTACATTGCATCAGACAAAACTTTCAGCGGGTGAATAGCGCGACAGTGTTCCTGAAGATTCTGCATTTTCCAGTATTGGTGTCAACTGCAACCCGATAATCTGCACTTGTGTGTTTGAGTGCCCATTTACAAAAGATTTTGTGATCTGCAGAACCAATCAGATACAAAGAGATCAGTATTCTGATACCAGTCAAATTCTCCTGACCTCTGTTCTCTACAATGTGTCAGAATCTCAACAAAACCAATGTCAACGTGACAGGAACAAAGACCTAAGGGTTTGATGAACATTAAGCAGGGAAATATTAGAGCATCCGCCTGTTTAAATACAGAAAACATTGGACCATGGGAACCTGAAACCTGAACTCTGAATTGGCAAAATCTCACAATTTGTGTGATTCAGCTTTTATGCTTTTACTGAAGCGTCAAGGTTTTTAGCAATGTACAACAATCACAGCCATATAAATATGACTAAACAGGAAAATAATTGTTTAATTTTTCCCACTCTCCTTTGCCTGTTAAAGGCTAAAAAACATGAAACGAGAGTTGGGCTGGCCCCCTGAAGGTAGAGTTTTGGAGTTTTTCGTTGGACATATGTAGAATGTATGACTCATGTTTCACTGCAAGAATAGGTGGACTTGCCTACCCCAACAGGTTCAATCTACTTTTCCATCATGAACATATAGTTACCTCCCCAACTAAGAACAAATTTTGCACAACTATATCAAATTTCCGTTCATTTAAGCTGATCAATGCCAATAGCTGCTGAAGAACACTAGATGCTATTCAACTTTCCAAGCGCTGGGATAAGTGATTTGCAAACAACATAGGCTAGTGTACTAAGCTAATGGTAAACCCAGTCCAGAAAATCCAAGATAATTAAACTTGGTTTCTGGAGAAATTAGAGTCAAAAAGATCTTGAACCCAATAATGATAGCCATCATGCACCTCAACATAAGATATCCCAAATCATGAGAGCTTGAAGCAGATAAGAAGTACAAGAGCAATTAACTCTTTCAAAATATGTTGTGTGGTACAACTTGAGGGATGCATTTTCATTTTTAAATGTAGTAAACTGCGATGCACAAACAATCCAAAACAATAGATTGTAAGTTGTTCACTCAGTCAATATAAGCAACTATCTTATTACTATTCCTACAACCTCAAAGTCAAGGTTACTATGGCTGTTTAGAAACCTCCAATTATTCTTTCAACTAAATCCTAGTTATGACAATAACTCAAGTTAGAGGAAATTTAAGCTTTTTTTTTTATCAGTTTGAATTTCTGAAATTATCCAGTTAAGAATTAGCTTTAAGTTGGTCTCCAAAAAAATCATTCCTCAAGTCTTGTTCTGTAAACTACTAATCTAGCCTGGGGAAAAAGATATTGATGCCCAATAGATAGAGCATATAAGCTACAAAGGTTTACTAATCTTAATCTCCTAAATCACCTTTTTAAATTCATTAGTCTTTGCTTAAATCGAGCACAAAAGATGCTGTTTGATTATTTACCCTGTTCCTTTATCTATACCTAATGTCAAAGTCCATAATATGCTTAAACAGCTCCAGTCAACTGTTTTTGTCATCATTCACCCGTCTTCTACTTCTTCTTCTTCTTTTCTTGCTTGTGTCTAAACATTTCTCTGTTCAACCACTACTCAAATATATAAATAAAAGGTATTTTTACAAAGAATTCTTGAATTTGTGTATTCACATTTCACGACTAAAGAGTGCTTAGGACCCCAATTCTTGAAAAGACGTTAAGAATGTTCTGTAATGTAAATATATCATATTGCTGTGCCAGGTACTTCAAATATATACTGGAAAGTGGATGGTTGAGTTGTTTATGCGTTTTGGTTTGTAAGATAGTATGTGTTTACCATCCAGGTTTAGAATACCTAATGCATGATTTGACAGTCCTTAGTGGTTTACTTCTAGAAGACTAGACATCCCTTTCCTTTTCTGTTTAGATTCTCTACTATTTCTTGCTCAACAACTTTTTCCAAAATGATCTTTCCTTGATACAGATATCTCTACCTCCTTGAATCATATGGTCACCATAGAATGAAAAAGTAACCAATTCTCCAAAAGCTACTCTCCACCATAGAAAGCTGAAGCTCCATCAGATAAACCCAACTAACTCACAACAGCCTCTGACCACCTGAGGCTACTGTCCAATAACCAACCCATGCTGAATTTTAAAATCGAGCATAAAACAAGCAAAGACTAGCAATCAGACATAGCAGATAAGGAACAAGGAAATACCTTCTACAAGCCTTTCATCAGACAATCATCAAAATGTCACAGCAAAAAAATATTTCCAAAATATTCAAATCACAATTTCAAACCCATCAACAGGTGAATAGATGACAATAATTCAGTCAAAGGCCTCAAATTTTAAACTTGATGTTAAATACAAATATCCAACTTCTAAATTACTTCTCAATTGAGCAAATGAAAGGATTTCGATTTCATAGACACGGTCCTTAAAATTACATACATTGGTACAAAGACACAGTACATATTTGTTCATATGGAAGATAACAATGCTGATAATGCCAGAGAAAATTTTACACGTGTTTACACGGACAGAAACACAACAACACTCATATTCCCAAGGCTGTGGATATTTCATGAAATGGTGGTGGCTCCAGGGTTGGCTGCTGTAGTGGAGATTTATAATGGATAAGGCACACCTCAACATGGATATGGTGGGGAATAATTCACTAGTTTGTGGTGTTTTCCTAATTCACAATGTAAACCTGCATAACTTATACAGAGAGGGAAGTCATAGAAGGGCACTAATAACAACTGGTTGCAGTCAATTTGGCATGTGCTTGACTGGTGACTGATGACACTGATAATTCCTTAGTGTGCAATGGTGATCCCCAAACCTAGAAGGGATGGGAATTCCAACTTTTTCATGGAGGTAGAATCAGAAAGGCCTTTCTCAACTTAATTTTGCAAAAGTAAACTAAAGAAATAGAAAAGAAAAGTTGGAATTAATTAATTGTTCCATGGGATTCCAGAATGCCAAATGGGACCTACAGAACATACAGAAACATGCCTTTTGTTTAGGACAACATTTTTGAAGAAAATGTTCAGCAGCAGTCATATGGCATACCTGTGTACAACCAAAGAGTTTGACCAACTTCAGTGACAAGCAGCTGTCAACAATCAATCCCAGTGCCTTATCCGTTAATTTGCGACACCACGACAAATCCAATACCAACAACTTTCTCGAACATTTGGCGAGCGAAAAGGCAGTGCAAGGGCCAACCTACCAAGCACCATGGCTCAGTTGTTTTAGCTAAAGACAATAGGCTGAGAGAAAAGGTAAACAAACAAAAAATAAAATCAAGAAAAGAGAACTTTCTCTACTAACACGAATTGCGTGTTTCCAAAAAACCTAAAATAACATATTCACTTGACAGCACAGTGTAATTCCCACCTACCAATGTCAAGAAAAGACTTTCGTGAGAGCATGGACATAATCAAGTTCCCATGCCACTAGAGTTCTATACAGAAGAATGAGTGTAATTTTGTATTTCATTTCTATCAATGGACCATGTAAAGCAGCACCTTAATCAACTCTACAGAATGCATATTGCTAATCAACTTTGTCTTTCAGTCGTAAATCAATAACACTTCAGTAATATGTAATGACTAGAATCCAGCAGTCCTAAGCAAGTGTTGTCTCTCCCCATTTTATTGCCCAACATGTTGCTTTGGGAAATATACACAAGAATATGCCCTGAAACTACAAGGAAACTGACATAAAAATATTGAAGGTAAACTCTTGAGCATAATCTTGAGTAAAGGGCAGGAATATACAGAAGAGATAACATTAACATGATATCCATCACGCAGTCCCAAAATGTGCCCAGAATTATTAAGACATTGCCAGGCTAGATTATATTTAGAACAAACGATCAAGGACCTAGGGAATCATAATCAGTCAAATACCAAATAGGCAAGACCAGGTTCATTCTAGATCATTGCTACATATAGTAGAATCATAATTAGTAGAGAAGATAGCATGAAGTCAACTTTGTACCCTGCCATTGTAACTAAACAAAATTTATGAACAACCAAAAAGGGAGACCTTTTATGTGCATTATGCAACTAAATGCATATCATCACCTATATTACCAAGTACAGCAAGTACAGAGTTTGATCAGATGATGCTTATACCGAAGTAACACTATTGAGACATAGTTCCTTCAAAGACTCTCCAGAAGCTTCCAAGAATGCCGCAATTGCTTCATCGCTAAAATGTAAAGAAATGCAGATCAGGAATTTGAATTTGAAAATAGAAAAAGAATTTCAGTTTAAAACAGGGGCATTTCTCTCTTTTTCTTTGGTTGAGATAGAAGTGGTAGGGCAATTTGTGGGCTAACACAATGTAACTAATAGAATATAAGTTGTGCCTCTGTAATCCAGCTCTTAACCTACTCACATCCCACTATTGTCAAAACACAAAAGCAAGGGAAAATCTACACCACACAAATATTGTTCAAAATCACATCTAAACGCTTGGAGAGGGTAGCTTAGGTAATTGTAACAGGATAAAATATGCACTGTCCACAAACTGCATCAAGCTGACATGCCTTTCATTTACTAGGCGGAATGAAAACCTCCATTGGGATTAGGGGTGCAAACGAGCCGAGTCGAGTCGAGTTTTGGCCTTATCAAGCCAAGCCTCAAGTTAATTTCATGAAGCTCGAACTCGAGCTCGAGCTCAACGAGCTCAAAATGTCAAGCTTGAGCTCGAGCTCGACTCGAATTTGGGCTTATCGAGCCAAGCCTCCAGTTAATTTCATGAATCTCGAACTCGAGCTCGAGCTCGACGAGTTCAAAATGTCGAGCTCGAGCTTAAAAAATAAAAAAATAATAATTATATTATATTTTAAAAAATAAAAAATAATTATTTTATTTTTAAAAATGAATAAAATAATATTTTTTTAACAAAAAAATTTTTTTAACAAATAATAAAATATTAGGGATATATATGTAATTTTACTATTAAAATTATATATATATATATATATATATATATAAAATCAAGCTCCCGAGCTGCTCGCGAGCCATCGAGCTTAATGTTTTTGAACTCGAGCTCGAGCTCGAACTCGACTTGATTGGCTCGAGCTCGAGTCGAGCTCGTATTCGAGCCGCTCGTGAGCCCTAATTGCGACCAACAGCCTAATTGGGACCAAGACAAGCTATAAATAAAAACATAGGATATAAGTTAATCTAGCCATTGTCAAGGAACAGGACATTAGACCTTTCCAACAGCGCCTGAGCTACCACCAGCAAAATATCAGTATCAACTGACAAATGACAGGTATATTCCTCCGGAAATTCCTACTTTTCTAGTTACCTCTTTGACATCCTTGTGTAATTACAGTCAAACCAGCATTTTATTGGCCAGAATTTCATGGAACAACTACACAACATTTTTGTCTATCTTTCTTTATTATTTTGTTTTTCTCCCTCCTGTAATTTGATATTCTTGCCATTGTAGTTTGAAAGTCACCAATGCAGATCTCCAAAGGAAGCAATGCCAACAATAAATCAGATTTTACGGTCCTTGGATCAATTCTATTGTATAACTAGTAATTTGACTAATCTCACAAACCTGAATTTGTTGCGGCAAAGTTTAAGTGTTTGAATGTGCTGACAACCATCAGCAAGGAATTGTAATGCAAGATCTGTCAATTTATCTAGGTTTGAAATGTTTAATGAATGTAAACCACTACAGTTATCTCCAATGGCTCTGAGGGAACCATTGGTCAAGCCCCTGCATCCAGAGAAAAGAAGATCAATAGAAGAGAAAAAGCCATCATATCAAAGGAAAAGTACTTGAAATATAGCTTTAATTAGCAAGCAGAAAACAATGAATTGACTTACAGACAATTGGACAAATCAAGCTCCTTTAGAGTTTTCCCACATGTGTTAACTACGGCGTCAACAAATTGATCAGACACAGTGTGAATTCCAGCAACAGACAAGACCTCCAAGTATGCAAACTTCCTCAATGCAGGTAGGATAAGCATTGCATCTATTTTCGGGCACTCATCAATATACAGCTCCCTCAACTTGGATCCCAAAGAATCGGCCAAGAAATTGATGCCAACATTGGTAAGAAGGGAGCAGTGGCTCAAATTTATAGACTCTAATTCAGGTGCTGACTTGACAAATGCTTTTAGCCCATCGTTGGATAGACGACATGCACCCTTTAATGATAAGACACCTAGGTCGGGGAAGCTCAACCCAGCCAAAGTAAATGGACATTGCCCACATAATTCAAGTTCAAGTACCTGCTTTTACAACACACAGATTAACAGAGAGAGAGAGAGAGAGAGTTCAGTCCACCAGAACAGATATAGGAATATCAAAACATGAAAACAAAAAACCACTGAAACATGACACAGCATAAGTGAGGCTTATTGTAATTTTGAGGGGAGGACTTAGACAAGTTTTTCTTAGAAAAACCACCCTAAAAATTTCAAGCTTAACTCTAAAGTAGGGAAAATGAAGGCTAGTTAAACTCAAGGTCCTTCTAAAATGGTTAAAACAGTAAGAGGGTAAACCAGCATTATTCTCCTTTCCCCCTCCTGCCCTCCCCTCTCTAACATGAAGGAAAATAACTAAGATGATTAGTGCTTACAACCAAAATAAAAATCAAAGTAAAAAAGACATGCAGAAAAATAAATATGATTGAGCCTCAGCCCTATAGCCAGCAAGGTGACGAGCTCATGAACCAAGGACATGACAAATGCAAACATGTATGAAAAGTAATGAATAAATAAAGAATGATGAATAAAGAATGATGCAGTGGATTTTATTTTCCTTAATTTTCGACAAAGTTAGCATCCAATGACATTGAGAAACATGACAATCAGGGAATTCATCATTAGACACAGGAAGTCATGAGAAGTCAACTAGAACCAAGAACGAGCACATTTATCAAGAAAAAACATAATCCTGAAGCTTGTTTTAAGAAGTTTAGTATCGGAAGTAACAAATTCCAAAAACGCGCCTGGACTACATAAACCATCTCAACAATATGAGGCATCAACAAACTCATTCAAAAGGAACTCTATAATCGCAGAGCGTACAGAACCAGAAATTCAAAAGAATGCACTAATGTGATAGGACACCAAATACAAGATAACTAACCAGTAGTAGACTTACCTTCAAATTTTTAGCATCAAAATTTCCAAATGCCTTTGAAAAATGGCAATCTGTTAGCCATGAACAGTCCTTTATACGTATCTCCGTTGGAGATCCTTTAACAAAGAGTTCAAAAGTGTGAACATCCATTTTCCGGAGATTACAGATACAGTCAGCGAGCTTTCGCCTGAGGAAATCGGGAACAAGTTCAAGTGAAACTATAGCCTCAGCTTTTGCTGCAAGAGCTTTCAGGGAGAGATCCAGAAGTGAAGGAACAACGGGTCTAAATGAATTGCAGCCATTGTCAGAGGGTTTCCAATCAATAAGTTGCCTGGATCGCCAGGACGTTCGGTCTCTAACCATATTCAGAGCAGTAGAAAAAGGACCAGGAGATTTTCCCAGTAGATCTTCAAGTGGAGGCTTTTCCTGACTAGAAGATACATCTCCATTCTCCGCCCACCGCGCAAATTTATGAGCATTTCTCCGGAGTTCACTGTGTCTCAGTGTCTGCATCTCAATATCATATTCTGCATGTTTTCTACGCGCGAATTCTGTGCTCGACTCTGAGCCTTCCACTTGGTAACCATTCTCACTTGTGTGGTTAAACCTTTTCAAATCCTGGCTTCCTGGTTGTAATTCAAACTGTATTGAATCCTGGCTTCTTGTTTGTAACTCCAACTGAGTTGGATTAGTTGCAAGTGACAACCAAGAATCAACAATTTTAGCTTTCCCTTTCTCTTCCCTGGTGTATCTCCTCCCATCACTGACATAACTATTTCCATCATAACTCCTGCCCATTAGTCCCAATCCAAAATCAATATTCTCAAGAAGCTCATTATTAGTTTCTTCCACAATGAGCTTCCCCTTTCCTTTGACGTCATGTGCAACAATCCCTATTCCCTCCTCATCCTCACTATCATCAGATGGAATGCAAATAATGTCAACCTTCCTATTTACAGCTTCAGGTACAAATTCATCATCCTCTGAATCGATCAACGCCACGTTAAGATCGAAGCCACACAATTCATCAGTGCAAGAAACTCCCCTTTCTTCCCCAGAACCCATTGCCTGATTCTCATTTCTTTCCTCCTCCTCAGTATCAATCCCATGAAAAACCTCTAGATTTCCATCAATCCCATCAAAGATCCTAACTTTCTTCCCCGTCCAATCTCCCCCATCACTTTCCCCACTTAACCTCTTCTTTCCACTAGAACTCTCCCTACTATTTTCACCTTGACTCGGAGGCCCCATATCACCCCAATTACCACACAATTTCAAATAAATCCCAGCACCCAAAAGCCCCAAACAATAAAAAATTCAGGGGCTTTAAAAAAATCCCAGAAAAAAAATAAATTCTGGGCATCAATCAGCGGGTCACAGAAGAAAAGAAACTTTCTTGTTTCAAGGAAGAGAGAAGAAAAAAGAAATGAGCTTTCCCCCGAAAAAAGATCACACAAAGAGAAGCAGGACGGTCATGTAAGAGAGATGATTAGCAATGAATGAAACAACTGATGATAACGAAAAGTAGATGTTGTGGTGGCCTTGTGTGCAAAAGGCTTTGCATGGGCAATTAAGGAAGAAAGTTATTAAAAAGAAAGTTGTTGGGATTACAGAAATAGTACCAAGAATATTATTAAAAAAGATGTAGAGAACCAAAAATTGATGATAACTTCTTCATTGGCGAAGACTTCTGAGACTTAAGACGTTGAATTATAGCAAGAGATCAAAAGAGAAAGCGAGAAAGTGCCGAGTAATTTGGCAGTGGAAAGCTGAGAGCTTTCCTACACACACTGAAGAAGTGGTTGGTTCGCTCTTTTTCTTTTTTCTTTTAAGCCTTTTGCGTGGACCTTTTGGGGAAGCCCCTATTTATAGCTTTGCCCATTCCCACTGCACATATCTAAATGCTAGCAACAAATATAAACCACTGGGAGAGTAATTTTTACTCTTTATTAGAGCTGTAAACGAATCGAATCGAACCGAGTATCTCATGTTTGAACTCTGTTCGTTAAGCAGTTCGAACAACGTTCGTGTTCGTTCGTTAATTTTCGAACTTCAAACCTGTATTCGTATTCGGTTCGTTAAGTAAAATTCGTGTTCAAGTTCGAGTTCGAGTTCGTGTTCGGCTAGTTTAACATAAATGAGCCGTTCGCGAACATGTTCGAAATGCTCGAATCCAAATTATTTTATGATTTAAATATGCCATGCAAATTATTAATCATTCTCAAAAAATAATTAAAGCACTAAGTGACTAAATTCTATTATTCATTAACTATATAACTAACATTAACATAAAAACAACAAATAAAACAAAGAAATTTGCCCTCCAAAATAAAAGTCTAGCCATAAAATTAACCCTAAAATTTGTCAAATGATAATTATGTCTATGTTCACGAACGTTCGTTAAAACTCGCGAACATGCTCGTGTTCGCGAACGTTCGTTTAGCATGCTCGCGAACGTTCGTTAAAACTCGCGAACATGCTCGTGTTCGCTCGATTATTAATCGAACAAAAAAATTCATTCGAACTCGATTCGTTTAAAATTTCGAACGAGCCTTTCACGAACACGAACGAGCCGAAACGAACCGAGCTAACGAACAGCTCGGTTCGTTTAACAGCTCTACTCTTTATCAATTTGTTTGTCAAATTGCCATCATGCACTAGCTGAATCTCAGAAAGAGGATCTAAAACATTTTTATGCTGTTTAGAGTATAGGAATTGGGGTCTTACCAAATGGGCTCTAAGTTATTGGTTACAATTGCACGAATCTAAAATGTTTGGATTGTAAATTATTTGGGATATTTTTACTATAGCACTTTTTTGACGTGATGTATGTGAGTTAAAAAGGTAATTGGAAAGATAAAAAGGTGTATTGGAAATAAGATGCGGAGGCAAAGTGAGGTTGGAAATTGGAATGTCATTAAATTCCACCAAAGTAAATAATTCATGTGCAATTAATTATTGGTTTGGCTAAGGGATGACTGTATTGGACACTTAATAAGAGGGAGTTTAGGTGTTACTTTTTTTTAGAAAAAAAAAAGTTGTTAATTCCATAAAGTGTATTTATATGGTAATTTAAGTGTCTTAACGAGTACACTGATTAGAAAAATCCTATAACGGTTATCTTTCTTTGCTTTAATTTTTTTCCTGGTAGGCGCATGAAGTTATTAATTATTGCATAAAGTGCATAATTATTACAACATTAATAAAGTTGGTAGTCACAAGGACTATTATGAAGTCATAAACAGACTATAGAAAATGATTCAAAAGCACTGCACATTTTGATTTGCAGACTCTTCTTTTTGTACTCTTTTTTGTAGGGTTAAAAGACCAAAAACACCCATGAGTTCTAGCATTTCAAGTTTTCATACCAAACCAAAGAACTCTTTAGCTTAACAAACATAAAAGGCAGGGGTGCATATTGAAACATAAAAGTTCTAGCATTTTTGGCCAATATCCTAACACAAAACGATAGATGCAACACATTATACTAATGAACTCAGGGGTGCATATTGAAATTTCAAAAATTGGAAATTAAGTGCATATTGCACTCTATGGGAACACAAAAGCCTCTCAAATGTATAAAAAAAAATAAGGATTAATCTTCTATATATTGACGGTGTATACATTTTTATCATTGGTTGCATGACGCAAATTCAAATTTTGCACATGTGTCATGCATTCAGCCGTGACAGTACAGTGTATACATTGTCAGTATATATAAAATTTACTGAAAAAATAATAGATGGCATGATTTCATGTTAATCTCTTCTGCCTGTTAACAGATGCACAGTTGCCATTAGTAGATAAAGACGCCAAAGCAATCACCAAACATATCATTTTTCGGGAACCACTTTGAAATTCAGTATTACAGACTGAAGCATTATTGTACTATAAAATTTTCACTATAAAAGAATGACAGCAAAACTGATAACGGCCCAGATGTCTCAGTTGCAGTTCCCCAGTTGCTGCAAAATGCTAGTAATCTGTTATCTTTGGCATAACCAAATGTACATTATGCTCTTTCCTAAAACATAAATTTTGGCACAAAGAATGAAAAAGTTTGGAAAAAGAATGCAATAAAGCCCTCTATCTCTTATTTTCTTTTCATTGAAAACTCAGTCTCTGCTTCCATCAGTTTGCCTTGTCTTCTCTTCTTCAGAACTGGTTCGGAAGAACCAGAGTTTTTTCTGTCTGTGTCATCAGATAAAAATTTGAGAGGCGAATACTCCAAAAAATCTTCTGAAGACTCGAAGTGGCTCACGATATCCCGTGATGATGTCGACTGCAACCCAACGATATGCACCATGGGGTTTGAGTGCCGATTGAGAAATACATCTGTTATCTGCAGCATCAGCATAGATACAAGCAGCAATATCAGAACTCTGATACCCATCAATTTTTCCTCCACAAAATGTATCAGAATCTCAGAAAAGCACATGTAGCGATTTTAGGTTTTACGAGAACATAAAGCACAGACATAGTCAAGCATGCGTGTGGCTGTTTTATTAAATCCACAGGCTGATTAAACTTTTTGCATTGGCAAACCTTGCCTCTTCTGCAGCTGGCCTTAATGCCTGTACTAAAATCTCAAATATCTGGGTGAAGTTTAGGCTGATGGACTATACTAAGAGTCTATCAGATGGTTATTCTTGTGGTGTTCTCCGTTTACCTCTTTAAAGTGAAGAGATATTCGCCAGCATTTTAGGGTAGAGGCTTAATTTGAAACTAGATAGCCACTAACTCTTTTCTCAGGAACAATTTTGCAGCATGCTTAATCTTCTCTACTGGAAGAAATACATTATGTTACTGGACTTAGACCCCTCAAAATTTTATACTAAAGAAAGATTGCAATGACATGAAAGATAAATCACTGCTGAAGCAACAACCAGAAGGGATGTATCTCTCATCATTGAACTAGTAGACATATTTGCCTACACTGCAAGGACAACCACTAAAAATAAGTCATTTCTCATAAGATGGACTAGTTTCTTCTCAGCTAGAACAAGGAAGCGGAAGGGCAAAATTATAAATGGTCAAATCAGATTTAACTAATTCGAGTGCAGATAATTACTTGTGCAGCAAAGAAAACAAAGGCTAGCAGTTGATACATCTATGGAGTAAGTGAAAAACTTCTAAACACCTTCCATCAGATTATCAATTTAAACACTTTAAAAAACTGAGTGCATACAAATATGCCTAAAGAAACACCTGATTGCCTATAGTAAAAGAAAAGGGGGAGTCCTGACCTTTTATAGAAGAAGGTTGAAGAAAGGCCTTTCTCAACTCAATATCATAAATCAAAGAAAGAAAAGGCGAAAAAAGAAGTTGGAACAACTTTATTCTTCAGTTTGGCCTAAAGAAGTGCAAGAACATAATTTCATCTTTTAGGGGTTTTTTAGTCATATGCAAATTCAGCAGCAGTAAGACGGGAATACCTGCGTACAGCAGAAGAGTTTCAACAACTTCAGTGACTTGCAACTGTCAACAATCAATCCCAGTGCCTGATCTGTTATTTTCTTGCACCCAGATAAATCCAAACTCAACAAATTTGTTGAATATTTGGCAATGGAATAGGCAGTTTGGGAGCCAACCTGTGAAGCATCGCAAGTTCTGTTGCTTTAATGGCAATAAAGTAAGCCGAGAAAAACAGGTAACAGGAGAAACCAGAAAATGAAAGGAAGGCAAAGTTTTACCAGTAAAACCCTGTGTCATGTTTCTCAGAGACCTAGAATTTCAATAGCATTTCTTTACTTAATATTGCAGTCCCCATCTCCCAACAGTTTGCAGAAGGATCTTTGAGTTGAGATGAGCATAATCAAATCACAATCCAATTTGTAAGCTTGGAAGCAGAATAAGGTACATCTTTTGAAATGTTTTATCATATTGCTTGTAAACTTTTTCTTGAAAGAGAACTAACAATTTTTATGTCAAGCAATGACTAGTACCCTATGTACAATATTTATCTCCTTTCCACATTTCATGGTCTAAGTATTCTAATGTGCACAAGAAGAAAAATGTCAGGAAAATACAGTGAACCAGAGTCTCTTAATCATTCTTAATCGTCAGTTTTCTCACAAGAAGTTAGCTTTGCACCAGCTACCAATCATATGAAACTTTGGGGGAAACCCCCAACTGATATTTCAGGCCTAAGCATTCTATTGTGCATTGTGTGCACAACTAACTATGTATCAATATCATCATGTGTTCCCAGATAAAGATATGTCAGGCCTAAGCAAGAACAGCATATGTCACAGAATACTCATACCTCCTTAACATGGTTGAGAGAAAGTTCCTTCAAAGACTGTCCAGAAGCTTCCAAAAATGCAGCAATTGTGTCATCACTAAAATGAAAAAATTATATCAGATTAGAATTTAAGGTTGAAAAAAGAAAGAAACCATAGTACATTTTGTTTTCTAGAGAGAGAGAGAGAGAGGAACCAAATACAAATAACAACACAGTTTTCTACCTCAGTACCCTCTTCACACAGTCACAGACCAGCTTATCAGAATAACTGAAGCACGCATTCGGGAAAAGCGACACAGGTTTTCAAGAAAGTGCAAGTTATTATGACTACAAAGTAAAGCTTGCTGAACCATTCTGTTCATCCATCCAAACAAATATAGTGAAAGTTATAGTTGGCAGTGCAAAATCTCCATAAAGAATCAGTGTCAACTTTAAATTAACAATCCCTTTGATCAAATTAGTGTGCAAAGTAACAAGTGTACAATATAACAACAACAACGTTATAAAACTAATCTCAGGAACCTGAATCTAACAACAACAACGTTAAAAACTAATCTCAGAAACCTGAATCTATTGGCGCAAAGTTTAAGTGTTTCAATTCGTCTACAACCATCACCAAGATATTCCAATCCCATATTTGGCAGTCCAACCAAGTTTGATAGGTTTAATGACAGTAAGCCCCTGCTGTAATGCGCAATGTGTTGGAGAGCATACTTGGTCAAACTCCTGCATGCCACAAAAAATCAGAAGATAATAAGTGGACAAAATAAGACGTCATATTCATGAGCTAGCGTTGATTAACAAGAAGATCTGAAAATGACTTACGGACAATCAGCAAAATCAAGCTTCTTTATGTTATGCCCAAGTGCACATAATATGTAACTAACAAATCTGTCGCAGACTGCGTAAATTCCAGCAACTGACAACGCTTCCAAATGCTCCAACTCCATCAATGAAAGATGCACATCCATTGCATCTATTTTTGGGCAGTAGCTGATGTTGAGCTCCCTCAGTGTTGATTTTAAAGAATTGGCCAAAATTTTGATACCAACGTTGGTTAGAAGGGCGCAATGGCTCAAATTTACAGAGCTTAGTGCAGGTGCTGACATGACAAGTGCTTTTAGCCCAGTAGGGGATAATTGACATGCTCCTTCTAGAGATATGACACGAAGACTGGGCAAGCTATTTGAATACCAAGCTAAAGCTTTCTTTATTACCGTATCAGCTGCAAATTGCGTGCATTGTTCAAGTTGAAGCACCTGCTTCCACAACAAAGCCATACACAAAAATAGGAAACCAAAAGTAAAAAAGGGAGCTTAATTACTTCGCCAGACATCAGTTCTACATGTATCAAAAGGAAGAAGTTGGACAAGTTTAAGTTTTTTACCTGAAAGCACCAAGACATGATTATTGAGATTAATTGCAAACTAACAAAAAGGCAAAGCTTTATGAATTCAAATTCCAAGCTGAATAGTTAAAAACACCAAGAAAAGAAATCAAATATCCTTCCAGATGCATAAATCACCCTTTTTTTTTGTCAGATAAAAAAGGCAAGCTCTAGATATCGGAAATAAAAATCATAGTGGACCAAAATTACAATACCTAAATCATTTACAAATTAATAACCATGATTTAAAAAGAAAATTTAGTGGATTTTTTTTCTTTTTATTGTCTATGATTCGGGAAATCAAGAAAGTTGCATTCAATATTACGTTCAGCAACTAACTCAGCAGAAGCTTAGTAAATAGGGGTTTCTTGAATTGGTGAAGAAAGTTTCTAGAAGCGATCTCAAACCAATAATAATCAGATATACAATAAAAGGAAGACTTAATTACTTTCAAACTTTTTGGATCATTGAGATTCCTAAGAGTCTTCAAAACCTGGTCCCCTGTCAACAGAGAACAGTCCTTTACACGTATCTCTCTTTGGTATGTCCCAACAAAAAGTTCAAAAATGCGAATATCCATTTTCCGGAGATTGCAGATCATGTAACCGAGTCTTCTTCCGAGGGAATCAGGAGCATATCCAAGTGACATTATATGCCCAGCATTTTGTGCAAGAGCTTGCAAGGAAAGATACTCAAGTGAAGGTACAGGGCGTAGCCTACTTCCTGATGCATCATTCGACCCTTCCCATTGAATCAGTTCCTCTCCGTCAGCTAGCCGGGAAATTCTGTCTCTGACCCTCAGTAGTGCAGCATAAAAGGGACCATAAAAGATAAGCTCCTTCTCCTCCATATTATTCAGCCCAAAGTGCCTCAAGAATTTCAAGAAACAGATTAAGAGCGCCGCCCAATCTGCCAAAGTTCAAAGGGCTTTACTCGGCGGGTTATGGATGAAAGAAAGAAAGAAATTCGTTGTTTTCTTCACGAAAGAGAGACTTAGAGAAGAATGAACTTTTTCCGGAAGAAGAATATGCAAAATAACAGGCAGAGAATCAAAAGGGTGAGGTCATGCAAGAAAGATAGCAAGAAATGAATGGGAGCTGATGATAATTGTTTTTATGGGAGTGAATAATTCTTAGACAGGAATTGGATTGTTTGCGACAGAAGAGAGGCTGCTGCAGAAGAGTGAGAAACCGTTAGAATCTTGGCGGTTGAAGCTGCAACTGCTGGTTCCCTCCTTATTTTTTTTTAACTTTATTTTCAATTTAATTACATTCACGTCCCTTGAGTTGTGTTATTTCTGTGTCCCTACTCGACATATTTGATATTGAATCCCTGATAATCAGTGCTACTTTCAATTGAGTCCATAACATTGATATATCAACTTTTTAACACGTCTAGCCTAATCCCTAACTTGTCAATGGGGATTGAATGCAATCCAAAAGTTAAAAAATTTCTTGTTTATCGCGTGATGATAAAGTTTCAACTTTCAATCCTCCTCTTGGCTTGCTTTTCCTCCTCCCCTGTTCTTGCTTCCCCCTCTTTGTACCCAAGTAGGAAAAAAATTGGAAGTACTGAAAATGAGGGACAACAAGAATTCCAGTACTGAAAATGAGGGATTAAAACTGTAGTTTGCCTAAAAGAATAAATGAGCCATTGATGAGCAATGTGTGAAAAGTTTATCAACAATGATTTCGCTTGTTTACAATCAAAATTGAAAGAATCAACTTCGGCATCTAGAAGAAATATGCCTAATATGCAAGCCATAAAAAACAAGTAACAAAAGAGGGCTAAGTGATGCCTTAAAAAAGGCTCATTCAATCATTCAATCATCAAACTCCTAAGCTGGAAAGCGAAAAGATCAAAGCTCCAACTGCTACTGAAACCAGTATAGGGATTTTGAACAAAGCATTGGCACCATTACACTGATCATTTGCACCACTAAAGCATCCAGGCCTGCTTATCTTGGCCACACCTCCCTCCAAGACAAAGCTGCTGTTTGATGTGCCATTGCTAAAGAGCACACACCAGAAGTAGGGAGAACCACCATCTGAACCACTTACAGCAGCACCAACCTCTGTGTGATTTTTACTGTACAGTATCTCCACGCTCTTACTGTTTTTCATTAGAATCCCGGAGAATGCTTCATCAGGCTTCACATACTTGGTCTCACACCCCAGTAAACGGCCAGTAATTGGTCCAAGAGTCTTAACCTCCACCCCACAGTTTGGTGCAAATGTCTCAGCAAATTCTCCGTCAGCAGGTTTCTTAGCATTTGGTCCTCCAACTTCATTACAATCACCTTGGTATGCTTTTATGTATTGCAAAGCTATACATGCCAAGCCTGGGTTGCTGTAAAGTGAGGACGATTTATGTGCCGTCCGATTGCTATTTAATGCAGTCACTAACTGATCAGCAGGATTGTCAGTAACTTTATCTGCATTTCCATTAAGAAATGAGCAACTTAGCCAGGATGAGCTTCGTTACTTAATTGATTAGACGACAGCAAACAGCTATGTGCTTAAACTTTTTTTTTTTTTATAATGAAGGATGGTCTTGTTGGCACAAAATCACCAGCAAAAGCACAAAGGCAACTTTTGAACTATTCAGTGCATTTCAACAAGTCAAATTGCTGGATTCATGTTGCAATCTAAAGAGATGATGAAGAAATCAATTGCAACGCGGAGTCCGAGGACAGAAAGCCAAAAACTAGCATTGCTGGCAATGAGTGCTCTATCACAAGTTTCTCCAAACATTATCATCCTTCAACCGAGATGCCATTATCTTGTTTTGTAACGTATGAAGAATTAAATACAAGACATAAACAATCAAACATAGTGCTGGATCTAATTAGAAGTCAGTTGACATACTTGATTCCCAGAATTAATATCACTAGTTTACGCCTTCCACCACCACCTCTCCATTGAGACGATGTACCTTTGGGCTTTGATTGCATGGACATATTCAAGATGTGCTCCATCGTTGATAATTACAAGAACATTTTCGGCAAAACACCCAAATTTGAGCAAGCAAGAACTGAAGAACATTTTCTAGTTCTAAAAGAGGGAAAAGCATAGGGAGAGAGATTAAGATCTCTTCTAAAGTCTTGCAGTATACAGCTTAACATTATCCCCGCCTGATACTATGGAAGTCAACCTAGAAGTCCAGTGAACTCAAAAAATGTGAAGACTACAATTTTCGTTTGGCTAGTAACACTGAACTTTGAAAATAAGAAGATGAAAGCTGTAAAAGATCTCCAAATAGTTGATAAGATCTAACTCTTCAATGAGATCCAAAACCAAAAAAAGGGAAGTTCACAAATGCGCCAATCAGTTGCCAATTCTCATTGAAAGTTGCAAAAAAAGAGATTGCAAAACATTGAGCTTAAGTACCATTTAATCCAACTACAATTTCGGACCACAGTCAAGATTTATCTAACTTCTTTATTAACCGCCTTTGAACCAAACCTGAAAAAGCAGATCCAACAAACAAATAAACTAAGCAGGTCCACATACATTTAATTGTATACAGTCATAAATGTAAAAGTTTCCAACTTTCAAATCCATTATTTAGCACATTGCAGAGATGCAGAGCACAAATTACTAAAAATCAAAGCTTTCTTGGAGGCAAGGAAATCAGCAAGAAATAAGCAGTAAGGAGTAAGATAAAGAAGCAGATTTACTCTGAAGAGTAGCAGCTTCAGCTGAAATGAAGAAAATGCAGCAGCCCAGCAACAGCCACGTTTGAGTTGCCATCTATCAGAAGAAGAATCAAGAATCCAGTCTGTTTCTTGATCAAAACTTGGAAGAAAGAGTGGAGTTGGTTCTGAGTTTATATGTCAGACTGGATCTAACGATTCCATCGAGAAGTCGGTACGCTTTCATTTCAACCGACAATTCACGGATATGAAAAGACGGTATCGCCCAAGAGAATGATTTGAAACTTCGGATAATTTCAGAAACCTCCCCTGAGGTTTCTAACAATGTCAATGAGCTCCCCTAACGTTTTAGAAATTATGCTTAGATCCCTTATTCATTTAAACTGATAATACTATCCTTAACATTTTAATAAAACTCCCCTATTGGGTATGCTTATATAAAATGGGTTTTATAATTATTTAATTTTTTCTTTTTTATTCTTATTTCTCATTTTTATATTTTAGCAGTAAAACCGTAGAACTATTAACATGGACCTTAACCTCTATCATAACTAGATGTTGGACCAGTGATATTTTTTTCCTTAACAACTTTGAATGTGACCATTTTTTTTGTCAATCTTGTTTGTCTGATTTTTTTTGTTGCATAAAAAATAACAATAACTCAAAATGAAATTGCTCAAAACTACTACCAATCTATAATATTTTCACCAATCTAAAAATCTACAAACTTTGAAAGAATTATGGCGATACTTTCTTCTCCAACCTTAAAAGAATATATATCCACAATAAAGTACTATAAAAAGTATTCTATCATAATGATAGAACTATTATTATTACTTATCAAACAATAAATGAGTATTAGAAACTTGACACTCTTCCCTTGCATTTGTGTTAGAAAATTGACACATTTCCCTTACATTCATGTTAAATTATATTACAATGGTCTGGTATAAGTAATTTAAACTTTATAAACTAAGGGCATTTTAGGATTTTTATTTAAATTTTTTAGCAAATCTAAGGTTTGGTTACCAACAGTGTCAACTCAACGAAAGTAAGCGTAAATTTTAAAATCTCAAAAAAATTTTAGGATTTATCTGATAACATAAAAAAATGCTAAAACTGAACATTTTCAAACATTCAAAAGTTATGGATGTTTGATAAAGAAAAATTCATCTGCTGAACTTGTTAAGGCCCCGTTTGGATTGCGATTTTCCTCAGAAAATTTGTTACATTTTTCATGAACACATTTTCCTATCACCTTTTTACCTCACATATGTCAAATAGCTACAGTAATTTTTTTACAAAAAATCCAGAA